GGAAAAAATCTTATAATACAAATTATGTATTGGAAAGAAGTGAAGCTTTCTACTGCATCCGCATTCATTGGCAATGAAGTGTCGTAACAGTGTTACGTCAACCAAGAAATGAAATGGTATGAATGAAATAAATTGTTGTAGAGCCTGGCAAACTATCTCGACCAAACATCCTTCTATTTTTCCCAACACTTCACCCCATTTCTCGGTTATTCTCCCTACATACTTACTCCATATATACCCAACCACTAGTTTCACCAGTTTACCAAGAGATGTGTAAACTCACTAGCTCACTCATCCGCATTGCAGTTGAATAAAACAATATTAAACCACATACTAGTGCGAACAAAACGAGTGTCCGGAAGCTATTTTCTTCAGATCTCTCGCAGACTTTAGTGGAAATACTTGAGATGCTTTTGTTTGAACCGAACGTTTGAATATTCCTTTGTAGGTTTGGTAGATGTATGTATATGATCCACCAACAAAATGGAACTTGGGTTTATTCACTCTCTTAGTCTAGACCTAGACAGTCAGAACTCGAGATAGGAAACAAGTCAAACGGAATGGACAATGTTGAGATCTTCAATTGAACTTGTTGCCAATAATCAAATATTGAACATTGGTAAATATTGTTGCTAGTATTTCCATCAAAAATCTATCTAAGTTCTCTTATCAACTACAAACTCATCAATATTGAAACTCGTTCATAAAAAATCATTTTTAAATGAATCAATAGAGTTATTTATAGCCAAGGGGCAATTTGACCTACTGGCAAAAATTCCATTTATATATCAATTACTTTTTTTTGATGATTCTTTGAGTATTTATAGCTTCAGCAATATTCATTTTCTAGAGGCAGCATTAGATCCAAGTGCTCTAGAAAAAAAAACCTGCTGGGAAATATACATACTAGTATTTATGGACTTTAGTTGGACCAATTAAATTACCTTGCTGTAATAAAACATTCCATAAATTGAAATTGGATTTTTAAAAAATAATTATACTAAAAGTATTAAAGAAAATTGAACTTCATCATAAATTGCTTTTAGCAGTTAATAAAGTACTTGAATAACTTGAAGTCAATAAAAACATTTTAATAAACCATTTCCATCATTAATAATTGGTTTTTCATAATTATTATTTTAATTTATTACTAATAATAATTTATCAAACCATTTCCAGACAATTCATTGCTAATATTAGCTGTTTTTTTGTTCGTCGTTGGAAACATGAGATTGAGAATTTATTTATTGCCTAAGATTTGTAAAACTTGTTAGAATAAATCTTACTCTTTAAAATCCGTATCTCGTTCTGACAATTTTTTGGCTCCATTTCGACCTCCCAGATATAAATGGAATCACAAGACAAATCGATTGGACATAAGTTAAAGTTGATGTGACAATTGAATTTTATTTCATATGCTTTTCTGTAAACTTATGCATACCATGTGGTCAGAATCGTGCTTACAATACTATCAAAAGTTTCTGACAGTTGGCAGAAAGAGAGCGAAGGGATGTAAAGGTCGGAAGTTCTAACAACTCGCTGTACAGAATCACCACCAGAGCCTTCGAGTTAGTGTTCGTTTTCTCATCTGCACGTAGAGGAAAATGGTATTTCTCTCATCGCATCAACAATTCAGGAAGGGTCCACGCTTTTATGGGCTTCCGGTTATTTCATCACTGCAAAGCTCTCAGCATTTTTTCTTTAATTATTCAAGGCATCTAGAAGTGATGAACGCGAATAAAAAAAAATTAATAACAGTTGGGAGAAGGAAATAAGGAAAGTTATTTTATTATCAGAAGATAAATAATAACAATCAATCTTGTTACAATATAAAAAAATCAACAGAGATGCATTATTTGAAAAATAGAAGAAATGAAAGAATTATCATGAGGAATAAATTTTAAAAATTAAAATGGTTGCAATTCCATCAGAAAGATAATGGAAAAAGAAGCCATTTTTTCATGTCTCTGTTTATGAGTAGCCAAGATATAAAACTGGAAAAAAAATATATTTCACTGTAAATAAAAATAACTCAGTATCCAAAAAGTAGCTATAATTTTTATATAAAAACTTAAAGCACAAACTCTTGAACTTTTGAAGAAAAATTTATATTTAATACATGGGTTTGGAGGTACTTTGTGTCCACACAACAAACTTCCTATTACAGTTATCTTCTATTTACTTCGTTAGAATGTCAAAAAAATTTTTTTCAATTATTTATAACAAATTACAATTTCTGTAAATGATATCCAATTGTTTGAAGTGATCTTTAGTCATTAAATACAATATTCCGTCAGTATTGATTTAGTTTATTATCAATAATGATCATTCAACAACCAAAAATTTTTTTAAATTGTAATTGTTATAAACAATATAAAATAACTGAGAGTCAAACTTCTTTCAAATCTTCTTTATTGCATTATATTTCAGATAAAATGTGCACAAAGTTGATATCATTATTAATTCTCGAGATTTCGGGACCGAAAAAAAATCTATACAAATCTAGAGAAGTTGAAATTATTAGTATCAATATTATTAGAGATCAATAAACTTGTGACAATTTTATCAGAATAATTCAAGTCTGTAATTGATATATACTAAACAGACTGCTGTTTTTAAACTTCTTTATTGAAGTAAATTGAAATAAAATATCATTCAGCAGTTGTTGAATGTCATTGAATTGATTAAATTCTAAAATACATATTTGAGTAAAAATAATTACCTTAGCAAAACTTATCTTCGGTAAAGACTATTTGCTAGATAGTAGTGAAGTAAATTTTGAAGATTTTTGATTAAACTTCAATAGTAAAGTAAATATTTAATTTGAAGTTATTCATAAAGACATGATAAGATCTTCTTTCTTAAAAATCTATAATTATGACTAAATATAAAAGTAACAGAGTTGTCTATATTTATGACATTATCAAAGCAATATCCCTAACAAATATTCTTATCTTTAATGCAAATTTGAAATAAAATTCATCGCAGAGATAGAAAAATGGATATTTAATGTATATTAATTCATCAAAATGTACAAATATTTATAAAATTTAATTTTAATAAATTAAAAAAAAAAACTGCTGGTTTAAAAATTCATAAAATTCAAACTGGAACATAGTAAAGAACACCAGATATTCAATCCAAATATTTCGTTAATAAAACTTCGGCAAATAATTTTATTGCTTTCTAAAAATATTATCAAACCCATTGCTAAATTTTTAATTAATTCATTCTCATTTATTTGTATTTTTTCATTTGAATATTTATTGAAGTCATTCATAACTAAAATATAAAATATTCTAGAATGTCTTCATAATTCAAATAAAATTCATGACAGATAAAAAAGCTCTTTAAAGAGACTAATAGGCGGCCATAAGGCATAATCTGTAAGACGCCTGAATAGCTAAATGAAATGTAACACTAAAACCTTATCCTAGTAGTGAAAATCTGGGTGAAATGATCTTTGAGAATATAGAGTATGAAAGAGCTTGATGTCATATCTCAACCATACAATTTCGTAATCCCTAGCAATCCATAAAGCTCGAAGTAGCGTATCCCTAGCAGGTGCATGTGGGATGGAGAAGCGCATTGGTAAAGAGAGGATGGGCATCAGAGTGAGGGTGTAACGCAGCGTAACGACGCTCACGGGGCTTTGGTCTCGATATGCGGCTTCACTTGGATCGGGTTAATGCTCGGAGCAAGGGTTTAGCGAGACAACGTAAACAGTAACGTAAACCCTGGCCACTCTCTCTCTCTCTCTCTCTCTCGTGTTTGATAAAAGAACGGTTAAACTAAAACATCTGGATTATGAATATATCTCTAGAAAAATTAAAAAATTATTCTCTTTTGAAACAGAATATATATATATATTTTTAGGAGCTCCAGTTTTGATTTAAATAGTTTTATTTTCATTTACTTGAAAGCTTTAAAGCATGATATTTTTATGAGGAAAGACGAAGTAATTTTAATTATTTAATTGCGTCAGTTTTCGTGAAATTATGGTAAAGAAAAAAGTGTAAAAAATATGATTCCTCTGAATTTTATATTTTTAATTTTCATTGAAGAGTTATTTTAATGGGGTCAATTTTTGAAACATGAAATTTTATTACATCTCTCTGTGTTTTGAAGCATGTAGATGCATACACTGGAAATTGGAGTGTTTAATAATTAAACGCTTAAAGTGTTTACAATATTAAACATCATAAACAAACTACAGCAGTTTTATAGACGAATTTTAAACGATTCTTGCTAGTTACTAATATGCTGTAGTTTGTTTACGGTATTTTAACATTGTAAACACTTAGGTGTTTTATTATTAAACACTTTAAGCGTTTTATTTAAAAGTAAGGAAACTCAATTTACTTCAATTTAATTTTTTTCTTTGATGGTTTTCTGATTATTTAAATTGAAAATTAATTGTGAATAAATCAAAAGTATTTTTAAAATTTATTTGATGGGATAATAAGATTAATTATTATATTTTTTAACAAATGAAATAATTATTCTCATAAAAATTCTAAATGAGTCATCTTAATAGCTTTACTACAACATAAAGTTTACTTTAACAGTTTCGTTGAATAATTCTAGTATTTGTTCTTTTCTTCCCTTGAGGATCAAAATCAGCTTGTGAAGGGTGAAAATGTCGCCTTTCTTTTCTCATGAAGCTTTGGTAAAGTCAGTTGGGAAAACGTTGACGCTTAAGCTCGGCTCGCGAATACCGCACACCAAACGGATTAAAGTATCGCCACTGGCCTTTGAATTATTCAAGATGCTGCACCACAGTATACCCGTTTGTCCTGACTCCCATTTGACTTGCAACCTCTTTAAATACCACCAGTGAGCTCTTTCTTACTCTTTTTTCTGACTAAACTTTCGGATTATTATCTCATCTTAAAGCCGAAAAGTTTAAGTAAAAAAAAACTTCCGTGAAAAACTTTTCCTTTCTTTTGTTCCATCTGATGAATCAATTGGTTTTAATTGGAATTTATTTCTGATTTCAGGATCAGCTTTGATGAGGATCGTTGAAGTCTATAAGGAGATTCAGGAACAGGAAATGAATATTGTAAGTATTTTATAAACCAAATTTCTCCAATTCTACAAGTCCTCCTAGAAAGCAAGACTAATCCATTTCTGATCCAGCATCAAGGTTATCCAATCATCCATAGTCTAGTGTTGGATCAAGAATAGGTCAGTCTGGCTTCCTAGTAGGAATTGTAAAATTAGAAATTAATGACCCATCTCTGATCCAGCATTAGAGATGTCCAACTAACCTTGGTCTAGTGTTGGATCCAAAATAGATCAGTCTGCTCTACACCAGAGATGGGCTGAAATATTAAATGATCGTTATTTCATTGTCATAAAAACTAGTTCATAATCTAATGTTTATTGAATATTCCAGTTGGCATTGATTGAATTTATTGGAAGATTATTTGCTGTTTATTTGCTTTTTCAATTTCTAATTATAGAGTGAAGGTTTTAATAGATCTAAATGAACTCATCAAGATGATCAAATAAATTGATTAAACCAGTATTGTTACTCGAAACGTGCAACCACCAAAATTGGAGCAAAATTATCACTGAATTATATATTCAAATCGAGTAATATTTTTTTTCTTGATAAAAGACATTCTTCGCGCGAAGATATTGGGGTATTTAAATAATTTAAATAAGACTTAGAGCAATTAAAAGGCTTGATTTATATAGTGAGCCAGAAAAGGAAACTGCAAAGTGGAAAATAGTCTTGTACTTGCGTGAAAACTGAGTCTCAACGACGTCGTACGAAGCGAGTAAGTCGAGTGGGAAAATTCAGAGGTGGTGTCGTTGCTGCTAGAATATTAATAAAAAAGTTGAAGAAGTTTTAGTACTCTACATTTCACTGTACATTTTTTTTTTTAAGCTAAACTTTTTCACATTCATTAGTCATAATATTAAATTTCATGCATAAAAGATACATTTAATGACTTAATTAATGATTAAATAACAAATGTAATGACCAAATGTCTGATGGAGAAAATTACTAAACATAATGATAAGTTAAATGGATTAATATTTATATTATGTAATTTCTCTTGATACATTTCACATTAATTTCACCTTCAATTTACTTTCAAGTGTAATTACTCTCATTTTATAACTCTCCCTTTCCCTTAATGACTTTTCTTCCATCTTAAACCCTCGAGTAGAGATTATAAAAAATACTTTTACCATTAAGACTTTGTATCTAATTATAGTGAGAAAAATATTTATTGCGAGAATAATTTCGTTAGTTATGATTTATCATTTTACTCTTTAATTAAATTAGAAAAAAATGTATACAGTCATGAACATCAAAGCAATCTATTTATATTTTTTCTACAAATAAAAAGATAAAACAAACAACTTTCTTTTTTTTTTCTAAAAAATAAAAAACAAAATGAAATAAATTTCATCACATAATTTATTTCAACTTCTCTAAGCTTTTGACATTAATTTAATATTTTCTAATTTTATTTTTTAAAATTAACTTCTCATCTTTAGAACTAAATTGCACCGAATCCAGTAATATTACCTAGATTTCATTTTTTATATACTCGAAATTTTTTTCTGAGTATACTTCCAGTGCAATTATCATGTCAAGTTTATGCGAAGGAGCCATATTTCGTCTATCTCAATCGTTTTATAATGATACCTACATACCATGAAGACATTCAAGACAATTTTTTGCCTTCTTCTGCACTCTCGCCCCGACAATGAACGTAAAAATGTAGCTCTTACCCGTGTACTTACAGAACGGAATGGTGCGATAAATATTCTTGGATAAGGACTCTTTGGCTGCGGGGTGAAAAAAATAAAAATAGTGAAATAAGGCAGAAGTGGAACGTGTGTGAAAGGAATGGACTTTTTTTTTTTTTTACTTTTACTTTTATATTTTTTATTTCCATTTTTTACAGTAGTACAAGTAAATTCTTTTGTATTTTGCCATTTTTTTCGCTTCCTCTCCTTCTTTCTCTCTTGCTTTGGGTGTTATATCACCACTTTTACGAGGTTACTCTATTCTCCAAGATTACGTCGTTGTACAGGTATGTATGGGAAGCAAGAAGTAGAATAGAGAATAGAGTAAAAGTACATTGCAACATCGTGAGATATACGTGAATCTTATACAACTTTTTTTTTTTAAGTGATAATCCTCAACCCCACTAACCAGATCGTGTTCTTCCTTCGAGTATTTTTTCTCCATTAAACCATCTCCAGTCTGAGTGGCTGGAGAAAAGAGTATTGTCACTAGATGGAGAAGCTCTTGGAGTAAATTCAAATGTTCATTGGATAGAAAGAATTCTAGTATGTTGGCTAACATAAAACTAATGGAGAGAGATATTTTAAGCTAGAGTCAGGGGTTTTTTTTTTTGCTAAAAGTCATGAAGAAAAAAATGGTGATAAAAAGAAGAAGAAAAAATCAAATGAGTGCTGGAGAAAAAATTTAATTAAACAAGAAAAAAGATTTTTTTAAATAAATTAAGGGAATATAGAACACTAGATTTTTCATAATCAGATAATTTAATCAAAAAATAAAAATCTCCAGAGAATTTTTGATAAAAAAAATTTTAATTAAATATATTTTATTCGTAGTAACAAAAAAGAAGAAGTGAGAGAATAAAAACAAAGCAAAAAGCAGGCAAAATTTCATCTATGTCGTGATGAATAAGATGAAATGAGAATGAAATTGGAAAGCTGAGATGTGGTTTCCATAGAGGGTAACAGTCATGGAGCGGTCGTCGATTTGAGATTATCAGGAATAATGTCAAGCTCGATAGCTCAGAAAAGAGTCTATTCGCTTTCGTCTACCCTATAGATAAAATTTTACTGATGGAAGAGAGAGAGAGAGAGAGTGAGAAGCAGAAGGATAAAGATATAGATGAAGGAAAAGGATCATACGTTACGTGTGTCTATCTTTGATGTTTTTGAGCAGCACGTGACGGTAGAGTCGATGAAATTGAGTGGAAAAGCTTCAAGAAGGAACATTGAATCTCTTGCGGCTTCGTGTCCAACTTGAATGACAGTTTGTACGTGTACTGATAAAAGAAAACTTTTTTTTTTTTGGTAAATCCTCTTTGAATATTACACCTACTTTTTGTGATTTACGTCATGAAGGTCTAGATAACTTGACCAGTTGATAGACAATATCTGATCAGAACTTGCAGTTTATCAACTATGATCATTTGTTTCTAATTTAAAAAAAAAATGATATCAATGCAGATCAGCTCAATGATATCATCCAATTTACAGGATTGTCCATATTTACCACAATAATTGGCAATTATTATATTAGTAAGCAAATAATTTTGTGAATTAATGTTTCCATCTTTTGGTATTTATGTTAGGAAACTAATTTATGGAAACCATGTGCTGCTATATGATGCTAAGTTGATCCAACAAGAGCTGTTGGACCTGGAACATAAATAGAATTGATTCGAATAAAATTGATACCATACAATGATGATAGTTTTGATTGATATGTAATATGAAATTATCAAGATTGGTAAATGGTTAGTAGAGTTGGTTCAAGCTAGGAAAGAATCAACAGTTGTAAACATGGATCAAAAACAAGCCATAAGACAAATACACATAACAACACTTGGAAATACAAATAATGAAATAAAATTCTGTGAGTCTTCACACATTTATTGAATTTATAGGAAACTAATAGATGAAGTTCGGCTTTGATTTAATGGATTAATTAAATTGTTCACTGGATAGTAAATGACATTGTCAAAAAAATATTAGTCATTAGAGTGTGAATTCTGATGGCCAATAAATGCTGAATTCAAGTTATTATTGGTAGAAAATTGTTGAATTTATTTTATTATAAATCATCATTTTTACCTGAAGATAGTGATTATAGTTAACAAAAGGTTGGGGAAATAATTTTTTAATAACTTTAATTAGTGAATTGGGGAAAAGCTTGTTTAAATAAATGTTAGTTTTGATGAATGTTCATAAGGAAAAAAAATTCTATTTTAATTATCACAAATTTTTAAACCTTTTAGTTGCTGAAAAAAATAAGTCAGAAACGAGAAGTAGTAGAAGTAGAGACTTTTGATAAATCTGATTAAAAGTTGTTTATGGTTTTGCAATAGACTTGAAAGTTTGATACACATCAATTGAGTGGAATGCAGTGTAATCATAAATTTACAAAGAAAAGATTTAAATTGAAAGAATAATATAGGAAGTATTAAAAGACATTTAAAAAAGTTTTTCAAGTATGATAGAAAAAAAGAATTTTAAAAGTATAATTAAAGTTACAAAAGAAGATATTGGTTTACGATAAAATGAAAAGAGGAGAAATAAAAATAATAAAATAAATATCAATACAAACACGATGGAAATACGAACGACTGAGTGAAACTGAGGAAAATAGAAAAAATCATGTAGATGCAGAAGAGCTCGTCGTTTTCAGCCATTTGAGTTTGCACAGCGAGAGATGTTTGTACGGCCATTTCACTTTTTATCTGCTTTGTGCTTGCACAAGATCCCCAGAGGCATTTGGTGCTGTGAAAGGTTCATGACTTCACGAGATTTTTGGTGTTTTATTCAGAGCAATGAAAGAACATACATTTTATCCACATGCTTTCTTCTTTTTTTTGCAGAACTTTAACTTAACTACCCTTTAGCACGAAATTTATTTTATTCCTTCCTTTTTTTTCGTTTCCTTATATTTTCTTTGTTAAAAAATAACAAAGTTTCACACTAGAGGAGGCATGTATTTTTAAATCTAAGAAGGTGAGAGAAGTTTTCTGATAGAGTAAGAGGGTGAAATTCCCCAACGTCGTGCTCCAATGGAGCGAAAGTCAGCCCGTGAATTTTTTACCCTCGATTTTTTATCCTGTAAGATACTAGTCGATCTTTCCGAGAGGTGGGAATCCAAATGTGTCTTTTATTCTTTCTATTAAAGGAGGGAAAAACAGTTTCTCGTTATGTCTTGTCAATGTTTCTATTAGACTTCTTTTAAGACTTCTCTCTAAATTAATTAAGAGCCAATAAATGTCTTATATCGATAAATCACTCAACACAGAGCTTGTTCTTTTGAAGACACAATTTTTAGAGTCGAAAAGATTCCATTAATTCTGCCTGATAAAACAGAATGGATTTTAATTGTTTATTTATACCAGAAAAAATACATGTATACAAAAATTTTTAGACAATGAAATTAATGAGATAATGATATATATTGGCGAGAAATTGTAAAACATAAAAATGTGCATAACTTTTATGCTAATGATGCTACGGGGTTGATCGAGGACTCATACGGAAGATCTAGACGAGAGGAAAGGAGTCGATATGGTGAAAATTACAATTGTAGATTAATTCATGCTAAAATTGAAGCAAGTTCCCGTTTTACCCCATTTTAGGGGTGAAATAATTGATTTTTTATATGTTTGACCTGATTCCGCATTTCTAGGCATCAAGACGAAAAGAATGAGTGGTCGAACTTGAAAATCGGACAACTTTGATTTTTCGACCCCAAAAAATGGCAAGTGGTACCCCTTTCCATTTTTTTAGGCCAAAAAATAAAAGTACTCCGATTTTCAAGTTTGACCACTCATTCTCTTCGTCTTGATGCCTAGAAATGCGGAATCGGGGCACCGCCCGGAAAAACTCACCTAAACACCCTCAAAAAGGGGTAAAACTAGATACACACTAAAAATCATCATCCCCTTGACTTTAAACCCCTATAACTCATGAACGGACTGTCCAATAACTGTTTTTAGGGACGTTTTAGAAACATTATAATCTAAGCTATCTAACGATATCTATAGATTTATTAGAAAAAATTGCCTTCACCCTTAAAATCGCTAAAATATAAAAAAAATCACATTTTTTTTGGGAGTTTGACAACTATTTTGGCAATTTTGAGGGTGAAATAAATTTTTTAAACAATTATAATAGATATGAATCTATAGCTTAGATTTTGAAGTTTCCAAATACCTCTTAAAAATCATCGTCTGATGATTTTTCCACGAGTTATTAAGACCCAAAGTCCAAGTACGGGTCAAAAAATTATATACTTTTGACTTTGAACCTCTATAACTCGTGGAAAAATCATCAGACGATGATTTTTAAGAGGTATTTGGAAACTTCAAAATCTAAGCTATAGATTCATATCTATTATAATTGTTTAAAAAATTTATTTCACCCTCAAAATTGCCAAAATAGTTGTCAAACTCCCAAAAAAAATGTGATTTTTTTTATATTTTAGCGATTTTAAGGGTGAAGGCAATTTTTTCTAATAAATCTATAGATATCGTTAGATAGCTTAGATTATAATGTTTCTAAAACGTCCCTAAAAACAGTTATTGGACAGTCCGTTCATGAGTTATAGGGGTTTAAAGTCAAGGGGATGATGATTTTTAGTGTGTATCTAGTTTTACCCCTTTTTGAGGGTGTTTAGGTGAGTTTTTCCGGGCGGTGCCCCGATTCCGCATTTCTAGGCATCAAGACGAAGAGAATGAGTGGTCAAACTTGAAAATCGGAGTACTTTTATTTTTTGGCCAAAAAAAATGGAAAGGGGTACCACTTGCCATTTTTTGGGGTCGAAAAATCAAAGTTGTCCGATTTTCAAGTTCGACCACTCATTCTTTTCGTCTTGATGCCTAGAAATGCGGAATCAGGTCAAACATATAAAAAATCAATTATTTCACCCCTAAAATGGGGTAAAACGGGAACTTGCTTCAATTTTAGCATGAATTAATCTACAATTGTAATTTTCACCATATCGACTCCTTTCCTCTCGTCTAGATCTTCCGTATGAGTCCTCGATCAACCCCGTAGCATCATTAGCATAAAAGTTATGCACATTTTTATGTTTTACAATTTCTCGCCAATATATATCATTATCTCATTAATTTTATTGTCTAAAAATTTTCAGAAAAAAAAAATTTCGTTCCTCAAAGTCCCACGAGGGGAACGTCAGGGAACGAAATTTTCCTATACGTTAGTTATTTTCAATTCTTATCACATTTTCATTTTAAGTCAATCCAAGCTTTGATGTGGGGAAGACAAATGACTCCTTTTGTAAACCATTAAAAAAACGTTATCTTTATGACATTTTAATGACGATTTACTGATTTCAAATAAAGCTGAACTTCGAATAATTCTCTCTTCAATTCACATAAATTTACAACCTTTTTTCAACGATTTAAATTTACGATTTTTACTTTGAAAAATTGTACGATCGCTAATCAATGTTTATTACACTAAAAGGGAATGAAAAATTGGCGTCTATCGAACTGGTTAAAACTCGTAGCGTATGAGCAAATAGCAATGAGATTTGCTTCCATTGCCTCAGGGATTAATTTGTGAATTCAGTTCCGATATGTAGAAACATTTTTTTTTCTATTTCATATGTTAAAATCGTAAAAATAAATAAAAGAGATTTATTATTTTTCTTTTCTTGTTGTAATACACTTCATACATTCTTGCTACAATTTCATATGTTCATTTTTCCTATTTTTCAATTTATTCTCTCCAACATTCTATCGAAACATTTACTTAGATTTTATTTTACTCTTCACTTCCTCTTTTTCCTACAAAATTATAGGAAAGAAAATGCAAAAACGGAAGCTACAATTTTTAATAAAAAATTCGAATAATTTTGTGAGAAATAAAAAGATGATTTCATTCACAGCTGCTTCCATAGAACCTTTTTTTACCCTTCTAGTATTTTTTTTTTTTTTTCAATTTTCTTTCTCATTTTGTGTACGAGGAGTCTTAGGTTCAACTAAGAATATCAACGAAGTACTTTACTCTATTTATTATCACATGTGTTATAACATTTCTTACATCTTATTTATTTTCCTGAATATTTTACTCACGTAGATTGCTTTTAAAGAGCATTTTAAGTAATTTCAAATCTCTTCTTCCACTTCATTCAATTCAAGGAAAAGGTCAACGTAAAATTCAATTAAATAAAAAGTAAATTTATTTTTCGTTAACTCACTTTGATAATTTATTTTTTCGTTAAATTTATTTAATTTACTTTTTAATAAAAGCAGAAGATAAAATAGAATAGAAAAAAATAAACATAAATCAACTTGTTTTGTCTGATGGATTCATTTAAAACTGTACGTTATCTAACTTGATAACTATTTTTTTTCTTGGTTTGAGAAATAATTTAATTTCTAATGTAATTATTTCTCTTTTTTCCATGTTACAGTTAAAAGCTTTTTATGTTGATCTTCTGGTACCGTTGGAAACCAATTTAGAGAAAGATACAAAGGTAGTTCAAAGTGAACAGAAAAAATTCCTTCAACAGCATAAAACCAGGTCTGAGACCTACAGCAAAGCAGCAGCAACCATGAAGAAACAGAGAAAAAAATCCAGGGGTGCTAGTAAAAGTGGTCTTGCGATGGATAAGGAATTGAAGAACATGCAAATCCTAGAAGAAGAGAAATCAAAACTTGATGCTTTTTGTGAACAGAGTTTGAAAAATGTAAATTGTTTATTTATAATCAATAATTAATCATTATAAATTCTATCCTGGAAATTTTCTTGAATTAATTAACTGTCAATAATTTCAGGCCATGACTCAAGAGCGAAGAAGGTATGGGTTTGTCTTGGAACGGCAATGTTCTCTAGCAAAGCACTATGCAAGCTTTCATGAGGTTGCTTTGGCAGCTCTTCATCCTTCAGTGGACGAATGGCGTGAGGTAGCAAATACTCGCGAGTATTTGCCTCAATCTGTAGAGGACATGTTCGCCTCGAGACTTCGGGTAAGGTTCAGACAACTCTATTCACACAAACATTTCACCCGAGCCAATCTCACAAATAAACCTATACTTTAATGTATCTTTACGATGAGTTTGTTTTGTTTGTTAGCAAGTTTCATTCTGGCCAGAGGATGAAGAAAATGGGGGCTCTGAATTGACCATGAGTTCTCAGCTACGTAAGACAAGAAGTATGGACAGCTCTTGCTTGGAACTTCGTCTTGGTCCACCACCAAGTCATCCCCCTTCATCCCTTCAACCTGGCGCGCCGCCACATCTCTCTTCAGCACTTTCGAGGGCAAGGTCAGAGGCAAATATTCATGCCTCAAGTTTGTCTCTCGAACCAGGTGATTAATCTTCAAAGATTTATCCTCCTGTAATCTCCACTTGCTTTAGTTGCTTTACTATCCAAACGTTACAAGTGTATAAATCGTTTCAACTGCACTAGTGTAACCACTTATCATTTTTAACTCAAGTATTTGGCATCACAGAAAGGAAATTAATTTACGATTTATGAAGGATTGTAAATATTCACGTGCTCCGTATGCTAGACTTCTGTGAAATGTTGGAATTTAAAACTCTCGTAGCAAATGTATATTTGATTGAAATTCTGCATCAAGAGGCCGATATAAATTGCTGTAGAATCGATTAGAGTAGCCTTCACTAGTTCAAGCTTTTTAAAAATTTTTTTAATCCTTTTTACATTGTTCAAACGGTTGGAATTAATAACAATCGGATAAATCAAAGTAAAACAATATCTTTTGATTTTTTATCTCTGAGAGAGAGATTCTGGTTACTGAACCATTTAAACACTTTATTTTTTTCAATCTTTCAACATTACCTTTTCATTTTTAAATAAACCAACCGAATAATTTATTTTTTATTTTAAATTAAACATATCAATAATACCAAAATATCAATTAAAAGTTATCAAGAGATCATTTCAAGAAGTTAAACTTCAAAGAATTTTATAGTAATTGAAAGAAATATTTTATATTTGTTTATTGTAGAAGCACCAGAAACTCCACCACGACCTAGATCTATGGCACCACCCTCACGTAATAGCATTGTTGGAAGTGCTGCCGGATCCGGTGGTACGGGTATCAACTCAGGATGGGGTGAAGCATCTTTAGCCCGTGCTCTTTTTGCTTATCTTAGTTCTGGAGAGAATCAACTTAGTTTCCTTGAGGGTGATCTTATCGCTTTGATGGGTCAGTTGAACATTGTTTCCACTTGAATATTATTCAACTATTTTATCTCTTCCTTCTTCATAAACTTCACTATAATTTATCAACTTTGTCGAATATCGTTTCGTGTTGATGATCAATTTGCATCTATGTTACAGGTGATCGTCAAAAGGGCTGGCAGTTTGGGGAAAACCTTCGCACTCAAAGTTCCGGGTGGTTTCCGCTGGCTTACACTGAGATTTTTATCGACGATAGTATGGGGTGAGTTAATACTTTGATAGCCAGCTGAGCTATCAATACTCGTTAAGCTGACGGCACTCACATGGAGTCTGGGTGAGGTCGGATAATCGATGCCTCAAACGCGAAGGTAAATATGCCAGAGAGAATCGAAATGAGGCAGACGATGGAGTTGCGTATTGTCCAAATGTGCAGAAGTGGAAACAATTGAAATGCTTATTCGACACGTATGTCTATACGTATTGCGATGAAGTCAATTTGAGTTTATATGGCATAACCACACGAGTAATTCATTGAAGCACCTGTGCAGCATCATATTATTTAGATGAACTCATGCTGACTACGTTTACCGCAATCTTAAGTAAATTGTATACTTTTGAACTAGCAATCCAATAAAATTATCATCCTTCTCAAATATTGTTCATGCTATCAATCACTATCAGTTTCAAATGTATCCAATTATTGATCTATAACATACCAAATGAATTTGTTTAACAAAATATTGATTGGGAAATTCAATAAATTGAATAGAAGAGAGAGGTAATTAAATAAATATGAAATTGTTTGTTATATTTGGTATGATTATATTTAATAGTAAATAAGTTAACTGATTGATATATTGATGTTATTTTGAATAGAAAACATTCTATTGATTAATTTGTCATGGGTACTTGAATGTTTAATTCAATTCTCTAGATAAGATTATATTTATTGTATGGCAGACAATGAAAAAAGATGAAAAATTTACATTTTTGCATTTTTCATTTAGATCGCCGAGTCACGGAGCAAACAATGGTCGTTCACCGGAACCGAGGGCGATGCCACCTTGTAAACCACCACCGTCGCGTCCTCCACCAACGATTGACGAGCTTAGCAATGGAGGCAGTGGCAACACTACTAACAACAACGTCGGCAATGTTAACATGAATAGTAGCACACCCACAAATGTTCCAAAAAGCCATAGTTCCCACAACGTCGCCACCCCTACGGGACGTCAGCCAAAATCTGTAAGAACTCTATACGATTCCATTTCTTTTATTCACACCCTTCTCATCTACACTTTCGTATACTTTCCCTTTCAGGATGGAAAATTTAGACTTTTAGACTTTCTTGAAAGGATTCTCCATAAGTAGAATTGACTTTGGTTTGATTTAAATTAAATTCTAGCATATCGAATTTTCTTTAGAATGTTTTGTCTTGGAAATTTTTATTGAGATTGAAGATTTTTCTTATTTTCTAAAAAAATAGTTGCACTTAGAAGAAAAATATTCCATCAACAATAAATAGATTTATTTGATCAAAAGTTATATTTGCAGATCCGTCCATCTGGAACAATGCCTTCATTATTAGCAGCAGGTCGAAGAGTTCAACCTCCAGTTCCACCAGTGCCACCACCTCAAGGCGTTACATCATTGCATAGTAGCAACGATAGTGGCTTCTCAAATGAGCCACCGGTTCAACCAGATATTGATTACAGCGATGATGAAGCCATGAGGTAAGCAACTTTAAACAAATATTGAACTACTTGAGTCCTCGTTCCTGCTCTCGCTTTGCTCGGCTTCCGGACTACTCCAACAGTTCTAAGAGCTTGCTCTTATCGATTGCCAAGTCCTTCCACCCTTGTAGATCGCTTCCTCAGGCTCCTTGAAATATAAAACCTGAATGTAGAGCTTGGCTCAAGCTTTGTACAATTGCTAATCTCGCTGATACGTCGAGATCGTTCGAGAAAGTCTGTGGTAAGTGGAGGTGAACGGTTATCGATGGCTCACTTGAACAATTTCTGGCTAAAGTCCATCCAATATGATTCTCGATTCTCATTGAAAGTGCACTAGCTCAGCCAATTCGAAATTAAGTGCCTTGCAAACGTTCCACTCTACAAATATTCACTGGACTTACGATCGAACATGAGCTGTATTTGTGTTCATTTGTATTTTTTTTTTTGCATGAATCTAAATTAAAAGAATTTTTGGCTCGTGATTTTAAGGCTCTAGTAAAGAAAAAAGTTTTTATATTATATTTAAAAGTAGATATATTTTTTATGATGTTTTAATTTTTTATATAGTATCAAGTCGAATTTATTTTCGTTTAAACAATCCCACAGAGTTCTCCGAATGCCGAGGGCAAGGCTTTCTTTATGATTTTCATTTTATGGTAAAGAAAATTTATTTTTCTATGTAAAAAGAATTATTTAAGCTGAAAGAATATATCTAACATCAGATCTGGTTAATAATTACTTACTTAATGTTATTAACAAAATCACAATAATTATAATTTCACTGTTGAATTAACTATTTATTAACAAGGTATTCAGAAAGTGATTAATTAATAATATACACACAGTAAATGTAATTTTTTATCTTGTAGAATTCTCTTTGTGATTTTTTATCTACAATGAGCTTTAAAAAATTTTCTATCTCGATATTTATTTCGTAAAAGAAACATCTAAAGTATTTTTTCAGTTAAAAAAATTCTTTTTCTAGAAAAAAGAAATTTTTTTTTTTGTAGACTTTTTATGTAGAAGTTGTTTTTCTCTACTTTCTCGTATTCTTTGTAGATTCCGCATGCGTTACCGATGGAATTAAACGTACACCGTGGTGGTGGCCCTTCCTTCGCATGAGTGGTGCTCATATCATGTATTTCCCTCTTTTGTTTGACAATTCACTCCTCTTGGTATTCTCCCTAAAAATTGTCTTCATTTTTTTTTTTGGTTTGACTTCATTCTTGTCCTCGACAAATGCATCATAACCAATGTAGACAACGACGTCGAAAGACCCGTGGGGAACGTCTAGAGGCGGCAGAAAGAGCGAAGCAACAGAGCCAACACACACATCAAGAGATTGAAGAGAAAAGCAAAGACTGGGAGAATGATTCATGGAAGACAATCCCAAGGGATGAAAAGAGCTGGCAGATGTATAGAACAGCAATGGACTTGTGGTCAGAGTCGAAGAGTCATCAGAGTGTTGAGAAGAGAGACCTCGAGGGAAGATACGGGCCTGTGAATGGTAGGCGAAGCGGTGACAACCAAGAAGCACAAAGCAAAGACTATTCTCGTCGTTCTGAGTACGATCTAAAGGATAAGAGAGACAGGAAAAGTGAATCCGGCAGGAAAACTGAATATACTCAGCCACGAGGAAAGGGAGAAGCTGAACGAAATGGTCGGTATGTTAATGGAAATGATCGTCAGCGAGAATCTAACCGGAGGAGTCTGGAAGAGCGTCGAGAATGTTCAAAGCGTGGTGGAAGAGACGATGAAGAGTCGGAAGATGAGGAACGAGAAGTTATTATTAATGAAGACGATGATAATTATGATACTAATGAGTACTCAAGCAAGTACGGTGGTAAAAAATATTACGACAATCATTCTAATGATAGTGAGACTCGTCGTTATCATCAGGAACGTGATGATCATAAATATAAGAATGAAAAAAGTGAATCTGTCTCATCCACTTCTGATTCTGAGGATGCTAGTACTATAACTATACCTGAAACGGGTAGGAAGGTTGAACATATTGCTCAAAAGCTTGAACAAACAGCTCAGAAATACGCTAGGGAGCATAGTCCCCCTAAATTTGCAGATCGTAGAAGGGAAGAATATCGTAAGAGTTTGGAACGTGAAGAAAAGCCGTCGAATTATGATAAATATGAGCGGGAAACACGAAGTATGCCGAGATTCGATCGAGAACGTTATCAAGAGAAGAACCAAAGTGGATATGAACGTGAAAGAACCTTTGAAAAAAATCCAGATCGTAAAAAAAATGAACGCAGTTCAAATAGACGCTTTGAAAGACCTAAGCCACCTTTTGAAGAAGCTCCGGATATTCCAAGAGAGAGACCAACTAGAGAAAGACGTTATTCAGAGAAAGAAGAAATTTATGGAGAAACTACTCGCTTCTCTCGGCGTCCTGGGACTCTGGAAAAAGATCGTGGCTACGAGTCTAATTTTGAAACCAAGCTAGAACGTAATAAAGTCCTAGAAAAAGTGGCATATGCAAAGAGTGATATTGCTATTGACGACTCTAGAGGTAATAAAAATGCTACAAGAAGTCCTGTGAGGAACGATACGAATAATAATACTCTCAAGAATGATAAACATATGTTGGTGAAGTCTAATACAAGTCCAGGTCAATTAATTCAGTCTGGAAAAAATTTTGATGTTGACATAAAAAGTCCTAAGTTGATAAAACGTACAAAATCATTTTGGAGATTCAGACGAGATTCAGAAGTACTTGAAGGAATGGCTTTATGGCAACATCGTTCTCTTGTCGACATTCCGAAAATGATTAAGAGAGAATCGAAAGAGGAAAGAGTTCAGGATGATGCCAATGTTTCCAGGAAATCTAGTCCTGATAACAATTCAGGATCTGGTCGAAGTGCTTCCAAGGATTCTAGAAGTAGTGATAATACTATTACGAATGATCATAATCCTCGTCATTCACGACAGGATCCAAAACCAGCAGAAAGAACTTTAACATCCGATAAAGGAGATTACTTTGATGACTTTCCAACTCCTGCTGAACGTCCAAAAGCAGTTGAGAGAACTGAGTATAGGATCCAGAGAGAAGAGAGGTCTTATTTTGTTGGGAATATTTCGAGAAAAGCTATTCTTGAGAAGGAACGCAAACGTAGTTTAGAAGCTAAGAGGAGTATGGTCGTAGCTGAGTTGAAGGAGAACAATGAAGCGAAGAAAGGCGAACACCGCAACAAGTCCTACGGCGATGACGACGATGGATTGATTCAAAACTTCTCAGAAACTGAAGCATCCGATGAAGAATCAACGTATAGCTGCATAGTTGAGAAAGACCAACAAATTTCTGAGAAGACGCTCTTACCTAGAACTAAATTGAGAAGAGAAAGTGATCGAGAGAAGAATACTTGTGGTCCTTGGTATGATCTATGGGGTGCTGATGCTTCAGTTAACATGAAGAAACAAAAATAAATATACAACATCACAATATTAATATTTTAATTTATAATTATTTTTTATTCATTTCATTATTTTTTGATGGTTTTTGTTGTCTTTTAAGTTGTTTAAGTCATAAATTTTTGTTAAAATCCATTATCCTCATCATGTGTAGATGTTGAGTGATGCAATAGTCTTAAATAGTGTCGGCTAGGTTGAGAAAAAAATTTATTATTCAATCTTAGAGAATATTATATGGCTTTCCATTTGAAATAAATCCTTAGAATGAATGAAATATAAAATCAGTTACTATCACATCATCTGATAAGCTATATAATTTTTTTCTCAATGTAAAATGCACTGGAAAGCTACTGTAAAAGTTTAAAAAGCTTGCATTTGTACGTCATCAGGACTGTAATAACAATAAGATCATGTAATTAACATATAGTTCTTTCAGAAACAATGCATTTGCGACGGTAAAATTGCGGAAAACTAAAACCAACGATCGCTCAGCACCTGCACTGTGATGAGAAGTAGAGGTATTACTTACCAGAAGACTCCTCTGTCTCTTTAAAAGAGATAGATGGACGTTTTTTTTTCGTTCTCTTATGGTTAGAAGTAAAGAGAGGATTTTTCTACAATGATGGTACGAATATCCGTCCAGCAAATGCACGAATGTGGATTTTCCTGGAACCGGGAAGAGGGATTTGATCATCTTATGGTGAATGTCTGACCCTAGCCAGGTTCTTTGTGACGTCGTTATGCTGTCATTTCGGTAGACAGTTGGAGAAAATGTTAAAGTAAGAAAAAGAGAGAGAGATTGAGTAATATTTTGGAGACATCTACTACTTGGCTTACGACCAACCTCGCGAATTTTATTAGCATTCTTGGAATTTTTCTATCTAGAATTGTGCGAGCCAAAATACATCAGATAAATTCAAAGACAACACAATACAGTATCTTTTCACAAAAAATTCCAATTTCCATTTTTTCATGTGAAATATACAAATAAAAAGAGCTCTATAGTAAATAGGAACTATCAAATATTTTTTTAGAGTCTCGGAAATAAAATGAAAAATTTCCAATATAATAAAAACATTCGATAGTGTTAGTGAACAAAAAGTTTTTAATTAAACTTAATAAAAATATATTTCTTTTTTTCTTTGGAAAAATGTTCATAATTAACTAAAACTTTTAAAATGTTTTTTTTTTTGCCAGAAAATTTTTGATATTAATTTATTTATATAAAGTGGACGATTTTATGTCAAGCTATTTTATATCAAATAACTGAAGCATAAAAAATTTCATTTGTCAGTGATAAAAAAAAAAAAAGCATGACGTTTTATTTTATCCAAAAGAATCATAAAACTTGCAACAGAACTGCCATTTGTGTGTATTAAATGAATTCTCTTGATCTCTCTCATTCTAAAAATATCCTCTCTACGAATACTTCAGGATAATTATATGAAAACTACAAAAATAATGAACTAAACAACACACAGACTTTAATTGCAATTAAATCCATCGAAATAATGAAACGAAAACGTCCTCTGAGGAATTTGAATTAATAATAATATTATACAACTTTGTGTAATGCAATACACAAAGTTTTGTGCTCTGTACATACAATGAGCGTAATAAATACTTTTATAGAAATTAAGATTGAATTTAAAATAATAAAATGGAAAAATTAACCAACAGCTCCAACATCTATTAAATCATTTCTGTATATTTATATATGTAGATTTTTTTTTAAAATATTGTTAAAACTAACTGAAAATAAATCATTTATAAACTAAAATATAATGATAAATACTATTAAATAGTTATAAAGTAAGAAAAAAAAAACAAGGTTTAGGGGAAAAAATGTATTTGTTGATTATTATTATTATTACTTTTATTATAACAAATATCATATAATAATTTTTTTTTTTATATCATTAAATAAGTTAATTGCCACTTAGACAATTTGAACAAGTTAAGTGAAATTAAACGTTAATACACACCATAAACTCGTAGCAAGGGTGAGATAACTATGGAGCTATGACCCGTAACAAAAGGTACTGGGTCGTCTCTCGTTCTACACTCCTTCGTTTTGGATAATAAAAATAAAGAAAAATCCCTGCTCCATTGAACATCTCTCACTGGTTTATGATATCTGTAATGGAGGAAAAATTTATTTATCAGTTATAAAATAGATTGATGAAAGATTTTAACAAATACATCAATGATTGATGATAAACAAATACAATATTGATATATTTAGAAAATTATTTTTTCATAAAAGTATAAAAAATATGCTCAAATCAATTTTTTCTAGCTATGAATAAATTTTTTCTTCTTTCAAATAGTCTAGAATTGGAAATTGATTATATGTAGCTATAAAATGGAACAAATAGTATGGATTATTATTGATTTTTATTAAAATTGTTTCGTATTTATAAGTTAATAAATTAGTTAATAATGTCAATGAATATTATAATTAATATGATATGTATATTATTGTTAAATTTTTAACATCTTGTGCAAATGTTATGATTATTTATCACCATGATTTATATTAATAAATTTACGTTGGAATAAATATATAGCAATTGTTAATGAAAGTGCGTCTATGAAGGGAATACGAGTGACTGAACAATTAGTAATACATTAGTCGATTTAGTTAATGAACCCAGTAGTAGAATGATAGACTGATGGCACATGGGAATACAAATTTAAAATAATTTTCAAACTACTCGAAATGCCAATCTAAACAAGTGAACGTCTCGTTGTGGTGTGTTGGAAATTGGAGGTTCGTATCCTCGGGGGGTGTATAGTAGGAATGACAGCAATGCAATACGAAGGGTGGAAGAGTTACGTGGAAAAGGTAAGGGGGTGGTTGTAGAGGTTAGAGAGAACGTGTATGTGCAGAGGTAAATGCAAGCGATTAAACACGATGATGTGCACATTTCGCTTTGGAGCATAGGAATTGGTAAATACGTGCAAAATTTTGGCAAGCATGATAATGCAAGCTTGTGGTCTACGCATAAAACGTGAGGGAGAATTGATATTTGCAATTTGTTTATTAACTATATGCAAGCATAATTTTATCTGAATAAACTTTTATATGTAAATCATAAAATCGATTAATGAATTCCCAAGATTCTAAATAAATATTTCCAATTATTTGTTATTAAAAAATGTAAAATATTGTTTTATCAAGTAAGAAAAATTAATCTGAAAAATGATGTACTAATAGTAACATGTGCAATTTTTCTTTTATTTATTCAACATCATGGTTTGATTATTGAAAGCACATTTAGCTTTTTTATAATACCAAGAATATTTTTGTTGATGTTAAACGATATGCATTTTTTACTATTGCTAATTAAGTAAATAGTATTCCATATCAGTCTGTCTGAGTGTCTGAAGAGCAAAATGAATAGACGGATGCGTTGAAAAACCCCCCTTAATACTATTGAAATTGTGCATTGGTCGAATGTATGATACCCCCTTGGAAACAGTGCCTTTATAGAACGTGAGTGTTTTACTTTGAACCGCGTGAATTCCACAAGCAGGGGTGGCTTTAGATGGAATGCTCTGAAGCGTGGCGTATTTACCTAAGCGGTTAATTACTGTGCATACCATCTGGACCACGCCAATTTCAATTGACATTTCATTTTGAATCGCTGGACATCCGAACAAATGATGACTGTGCCTACAGAAAAGAGGGCCAGACACTGGATAAAAGCTTGTGTGATTGATAGACAGCAATAGCATTAATAAAATAGGCCAGAGAAGTGGAATATGTGAAGCATTTGGGAATTATAACAGTTATTTAGCATCCTCATAATAGATGGTAAATTATTTATTGGACTATTTTTCTTGATTTTTTTTTTATCAGATTGGAATATTGATTTTTTTTCTGCTACAGAGCAAGCTTATAACACAAGAGCAAATTATTTTTATTTGAATTATCGAAATAATTTACAAATAATTTATCTCCTAGTAAAAACTCTAAATTATTACTCAGATTAACCAATGAATTTATACAATAATAATTCATTGAAGCTTTTTAAAGTATTTTTACTGGTTTATCTCGGATAAATTCTGTTATTTAAACGATTGAAATTATGTTGGCTATTTTTCAAAAATTGTGAGTAATTCATTTGTAACATTATTGTAACATACAAAAAATTCTTCGTAATTAAATCAATAGATTTTCTATCAGACGATGAATATAATGAGATAAAAGAATTCAAAATATGTAGTCAGAAATATAAAATTTTCATTTTATAATCTTAATATCAGAAGAATAATCAACAAGATTGTTATTTTACTACAACCTTTCTTCAATGTATATTAAATATTTACAATAGATATAACTAGCCATAATATATACTTTAATATTTTTATGGAACAGCTTATAAATAATTTTCTATCAAATATTATAGAAACATTTATGTATCAATCATCCTCCAGTACTTGTGGTCAGAAAAAGAAGTTTAAAAAGTTTAACAATTCAAAAATATTCTCACTTCGTTCAAAGTAATCAAATATTTTCAATCAAAAGTAACTTTTATTGTATTATATATCAAACAAGTTGTTAAACATCATCACCACTGAGGAATTTATTCTTGTAATGCTTGCAACCAATCAGTAGTAGAATTTTTTATCACAGCAATAAGTGAGATTGATTTATTGCGTTAATTATTGAATAGGGTTGACCAGAGCTCCAGTAGGACAAGAAATATGGTACCATGTAGATGTGTTAAATATTTCAAGATATTACAAGCTTGCAGATTACTCGAGGGGCAGTAGGATGATATAGATGAGGTGGTGGGTTGGTCATACGAGGACATTCTATGCTACTGGACCCCCTCGAGTGTGCCAATTGTCGATAAAACCAAATTAGAGTCGTTAATTATCAACTACAATTGGCTCTGGAGCATCTAGACCTTGGTATTGATTACAAAGGTGTTTTTTTGTTCTATTCATTTGAACATGGTGATGGAGATAAGATAATTTATACATCGTTAGACTATGTAGTTTTTTTCACATTTTTTAAATTTTTACTTAGGTAGTTCTACTCATTATAAAGTCAAGAATAACGAGGAAAGGTGAATGTACTTAGCCACAAGCTTTTGTGGCTCTTCATTAATTTAATTAATTTCCTAAAAGCACTTTTGCCGACTGAAATCCTTCGAAAGCTCGTTAAACCAATACTCTACCATCATACCCGTGTGGCTCACTCTTTTCGTCCCCCACTCTGATACCACTCTTACACTTCTACTTCGTTCCATTAGGGATATTGAATTCACGACTTGCCCTCTGGCCGCTTTAGATGAACCAGACTTTACTAAAAAGTATTTCCTATTTGGAATATCAGTTAGACTTCATAAAAAATATTTCAAGACTTTGACAATTTTTTTTACCCTTTATTGATTTAGGTATTAGGAATTTTGAATTAAAAAATACCTGGAATCAAGTTTAAAAGGTAAGAGGGAAGAACGAATATTACTGTTAATTAATTAATTGATGAGATTTTATCAAATATATGAGATAACTTTTCCAATACTTGTCATTATTAACAATGAAGAAAAAAATTTTTTAAAATTCTTTTCAATGGAAGTCAAAAATTCTCGTATTTTTATCAATCACTCTTGAAAGATAACAAATACTCTTTTAAAATTCAATTAATTTTAATAATGAATCATCCTGAGTGAATTCTTGAAAAAATACAAAATTAATTACCAACCCCTAAAAATAAAAGAACCCAATGAAATAAAAAATTCCCTAGTATTAAATAAATTGACATGATGGAACTTTTAATTAAAAATAGGTGATAAATATTTGTAAAAAGTGTTGTTATGTATCTTAGAGAAGGAGAAAAATGTGAAAACGAAAATACCAACAAGTCAGCCACATCGTTTGGATTTTTCCACCTGGAATAGCTGTGAGGCATCTCTGAATTCCAGACGACATGTATTGCACCTGTACTTCTGTCGTCTCTCACGTCTATCCGGTGTGAAATTCGCGCTGCAATTTAACGTGGAATGCCGCGAGCTAATCGAGCTGTCTGCCATCCCTTTTCAATTAACTTTCTCCCGGCGACAGGACGACATCGGC